AGTTATGACCAATCTAGACAGCACATTAAAAAGCAAAGACATTACTTTGCATACAAAGGTCCATCTAGTCAAGGTTTTGGTTTTTCCAGTGGTCATGTACGGTTATGAGAGTTGGACTATAAAGAAAGCTGAGCACCAAAGAATTGATGCTTTTGAATTGTGGTGTTGGAGAAGACTCTTGAGAGACCCTTGGACTGCAAGGAGATCCAACCAGTCCATCCTAAAGGAAATCAGTCCTGAGTATTCATTGGAAGGACTGATGTTGAAGCTGAAACTCAAATCCTTTGGCCACCTGATGTGAAGAGCTGACCCATTTGAAAAGACCCTGATGCTGGGAAAGATTGAAGGTGGGAGGAGAAGGGGACGACAAAGGATGAGACAGTTGGATGGCATCACCAACTCAATGGACATGAGTTTGGGTGAACTCTGGAAGTTGGTGATGGATAGGGAGGCCTGGCATCCTCAGTCCATGGGATCTCAAAGAGTCGGACATGACTGAGCGACTGAACTGAACTGATGTATCTAACACCATTCTCAGGAATTTTATCTATTATTAAAATTTAAAAATAACAAAAAAAAAAAAAACCCTTTGTAGTAGATATAGTTACTATCTCTATGTAACCACAAGTAAAGTCCTATGCATTTTAACAAACTTATTCAAAATCACACAGTTATTAAGCAAAGAGTCAGACACAAGTTAGTGACTAAACAACAATTAAGTAATAGAGCTAGAATTTCTACCCAGTCTTATGCTGGAGCTTGTTCCCCTTATCATTGTAGCCCATTTCCTCCTTTCTGTCTTTTCTATTGTACCTGCTTACTTAAACAATCCCCTTGAAAATCCAATTTGATAGCAAAACCCAGAATTATGCAAGTTTACTCAATTTTTCCTGTACACATTTTAAAAAATGTACTGATTAAAGTTTTCCTTTTTGGAAGTCATACACAAACTGAACCCCTGCTTGCATATATAAATAAATTAGCCTACCCACATATGCATCAGGCTTAAAATGATGGCTTTTGAATTTTTGCCAAATTAATTAGACTAAAATATCTCAATATCTTGAAAATGTGTCCATTTAAAATAACCATACAGTATAAATGTCTGGCTGTAGCCCATATAGGTTTTTTAATATATGTTTTTGTAATACACCTTCATTTTTACCTTATTTTAAAGTTTCTCCTCATGATACGTTGGACATTCACAAAATTCTGAAATAACTGCATTCAGTCTGAATGAATAGGACTGAAGATTTATAATCCAGCCATATGACTATATAAAAGTGAAATCATGTGATGTTGATTATCTTTGATTGTAAGAAAATGCCTTTTAGGAAATCAGTTGAGTATTTTTTTTCTCTCTCTGTTTCGGTGTAGACCATCACTACTTTAGTTATAGCTTACATTAGGTTTTGTATAGAAAGAGGAAAAGTAAAGATTTGTTTGAAAGTGCTTTCAATGGTTGATTTATTGAAAAAAAACAACATCAGTAGGAATAATTCTAACCATAGATTTTCCAAAGAGTCAGCAATTTTAAAATACAGAAAGCCTTCAAATAAAGATACATTGATGCCATGAATATTTAGGCTAGTGTAAACACATTAACTTCAAGGTGGATCTATCTAGAAGAAACCAAATTCAGATGGTTTTAGGTATTTTAGTTCATAAAATCTGTAATATACTTGAGGACGTAAGGCAGTGAAGGAGTGAGTCTCATAAAATAACTTTCGTTTGCAACACAAGATTTAAATAGAGGTGGCACAAGTCCCTAAGCAAAAAGTGTACAGTGAAGTTTATGATTTTATGAAACTGCTTGACTATTAGAGTTCATTTTGAGCATCTATGATTTTATTTTCTTTGGGTGAATCTGTTTACAGAGAAACAAGTAGCCCTTGATGTGACTGATTTGTTACCTTCCAAAATATCTAGTATGTTTTAGATATGATGATGATTTCTTGATTGACTCCAATAGGCTATAGTATGCAATTTATGTCTCTAGCACTGAGATTATACTAAACATTGAAAATGCTACATTGTTTAAGAGATTTTAAATAAAAAGGGCCTCATTCATAATAATTTCTAAAATGCACATCCTTGCCTGTTAGAATATAAGTATAGATGCAAAACCACTGATTTGTGAGTCACATGGCTGTGGTTCTAATCCTGAGGTATTTGCCTCTTTGAATTTTAGTTTATTCTTTCCTAAAAATAGAAAAACATATTATACATGTGGCTGTTTTGAGTAAAGAAAAAAAAATTATGTCAAGGAGCTTTGCAAATTACCCTTAGTAGGCAAGTTTTAATTATTCTAGTCATTTTTCCTAATAGATATATTGTTATTAACCTAAACTTTGTTAAGGTTAATAATAATATATATTACTACAAACAAACCAAGTGGAGGTGATGAAGTTCCAGCTGAGCTGTTTCAAATCCTTAAAGATGGTGCTGTAGGTACTGCATGTAATATTCCAGCAAATTTGGAAAATTCAGCAGTAGCCATAAAACTGGAAAAGGTCAATGTTCATTCCAATCCCAAAGAAGGGCAATGCCAAAGAATGTTCAAACTACTGCACAATTGCACTCATCTCCCATGCTAGCAAAGTAATGCTCAAAATCCTCCAAGCCAGGTGTCAACAGTACATGAACTGAGAACTTACAGATATTCAAATTGGATTTAGAAAAGGGAGAGGAACCAGAGATCAAATTGCCAACATCCACTGGATCATAGAAAAAAGTGAGGGAATTCCAGAAAAAACACCTGTTTCATTGACTATGATAAAGTCTTTGACTGTGTGGGTAACAATAAACTGTGGAAAATTCTTGAAAAGATAAGAGTACCAGTCTCATGAGAAATCTGTTTGTAGGCCAAGAAGCAACAGTTAGAACTGGACATGGAACAATGAACTGTTTCCAAATTGGGAAAGGAGTACATCAAGTCTATATATTGTTACCCTGCTTATATAACTTCTACGCAGAGTACATCATGTGAAATGCCAGGCTAGATGAAGCTCAAGCTGGAATCAAGATTGCTGGGAGAAATATCAATAACCTCATATATGAACTTGACACCAACCTAATGGCCGAAAGTGAAGAGAAATTAAACAGCCTCTTGATGAAGTGAAAGAGGATAATGAAACAGCTGGCTTAAAACTCAACATTCAAAAAACTAAGATCATGGCATTCAGTCCCATCACTTGATGGCAAATACATGGGGAAACTGGAAATAAAGAAAAATTTTTATTTTTTGGCTCCAAAATCACTGCAGATGATGATTGCTGCCATGAAATTAAAAGATGCTTGCTCTTTGGAAGGAAAGTTTTGACAAACTTAGACAGCCTGTTAAAAAGCAGAGAAATCACTTTGCTGATATAGTCAAAGCCATGATTTTTCCAGTAGTCATGTATGGATGTAAGAATTGGACCATAAAGAAAGCTAAGCACTAAAGGATTGATGCTTTTGAACTGTGGTGCTAGAGAAGACTCTTGAGAGTCCCTTGGACTGCAAGAAGATCAAACCAATCAATCCTAAAGGAAAACAACCCTGAATATTCTTTGGAAGTATTACCCTGGAGCAAGTTTTCCAGTTTTGGTTAATTCATCTGTGTTTGATTGAAGGTCATCCCTCTGCAGGGATAGGACAGGACAGGAAAGGACAGTGAAGAGATGGTGAAAGACAGGAAAGCCTGGAAGTGCTACAGTCCATGGGGTTGTAAAGAGTCAGACACGACTGAGTGACTGAACAACATCTTTCCACAACCAGTTGCTACTTATTTAACCCTCTCTTTTGGAAACTCCCAAGCTTCATCCACCTATTTGAGTAACTTCTTGTTGAACTGAGTGAAACCTGTGTTTGAGAAAACAGATCATTTTATTTTATTTTTTTTTATTTTTTTCATTTATTAGTTGGAGGCTAATTTCTTTACAATATTGTGGTGGTTTTTGTCATACATTGACATGAATCAGCCATGGATTTACATGTATTCCCCATCCCGATCCCCGCTCCCACCTCCCTTTCCACCCGATTCCTCTGGGTCTTCCCAGTGCACCAGGTCTGAGCACTTGTCTCATGCATCCAACCTGGGCTGGTGGAGAAAACAGATCATTTTAAAAACACAAAATTCTTACATATTTGAAAGAAATCCTAAAGCCAGAGGGAGAAAAACTAAATATTTGAGCTTGCAATCTTTTACTAGGATATCATCATTTAATACAATATTGTGTGTTTGCTTATTTGATATGGTAAAATATCCTGCTACACATCAACAGATCCTGACAATCTTTCTAATGGATTGCTATAAATAACTTATGAAAAGAATTGCTACCAAAAGACATTTTTATTGAATTATCTTTGATCTGAACATCAGTTGATATCTATAAAGGGATCTGATATGTCAAATAGTTAGGGAAGAGTTGATTAACTCTTTACAGAAGTAGTCCCAGATTGCCTGAAGAGCAAAATCAAATTCTGAATTTGATAAATTTAAGAGCAGTTGGGAAAAACCACAATTTTACAAAAATGTAATAGTCATTTTGAGTATCCAAAGCTGATACAATATTTTTAAATGCTTCTATGTACTATATTAGACCTTACAGAACACAGTATTTATCAATTTTATTAAATTAGTAATTAGATGATTCTAAACCAGTAAGGCAGAATATACATTGTATTAGCTTTTGTGTCAGGAATGAAGAAAAGTGCTATTTTAAAATTAGCTACAAATATATTTCATTTACAAGTTTTCCAAAACTTTTCACCATTAACATGTATTATACCATACAATCATAAAATGTTGATAATAATGTGTTAATATGAACATTTCAGTGCAATCCACTTATATGGTATGCTAATTAGAAATTCATCACCAAATAACATTGAGTTACTTGATCACATAAACAAATTCTGAGGCTTTGAACCCCTTTGTATCCAAATGAAATGGCATCTGTTGAGATGGATAGAATTCTCTGGATGGTAGTGTTTGGTTGCCTAGCAAAATCAGTTACCTGGTGTTTGGGGAATTAGGCAATGAGCAGTAAGTCTGACAAAAGAAAGAAGCCACAAGATCTTTTACAAAGGCTAATTGTATGTATATTAGCATCAGTTTTAACTCCTGCTTAAGTGTATAAAGTAAACGAAATTAGACCAATAGAACCTTTGGTTAAGCTTCACTACAGAGAAAGAGATATTATTGATCTGCTCATATAATTTCTTTAGAAGGTAAAGATTATATTCTTAGGATACTTCCAAGATGTTCAGTGTCTATAATATGAATTGTAATGACCTTGGGAAATATAACTTGACAAAATGTTCTTTGAAATTATAAGCAGTAGAAATTTGAATTTATGCAATTGATTTTACTTTATTATGCAGATATAGGCATAACTCATTTTATTGCACTCATTTCACTTTATTGCAATTCACAGATATTGTGGGGCTTTTGTAAATTGAAGGTTTGTGGCAACCCTTGGTTGTTAGATGATGGTTATCTTTTTTTGGCAATAAAATATTTTTTTATTAAGGTATGTACATTTTTTTAAGGCATAGTCTGTTGCACACATGGACTACAATAGAGTGTAGACATAACTTTTATAGGAGCTAGGAAACCAGAAAGTTCTTGTGACTTGCTTTACTGCCATATTGCTTTATTATAATGGTCTGAAACCAAAGACAGAATATCTCTGAGGTATGCCTGTGTTTATGTCTTTAGATTAGTTCTCATCACATAGTCTTTTTCCAGAAACTTTGTGACTTCTTGATATAAAAAATTTTCATGACAAAGAAACAGAAGTCATCTAATAAAATACTACTTATTATACTCTTAATTGCATATGAATAAGGTTGATGCTAAAATTCCTAGATTAGTTTCTGTAACATTCATCATGAGCTACAATTCAAACTCTTCCTTACCAAGGAGAGTCTAAGATCTACTCATTATGACTTTCTTAAATCCCCTGGGAAATAAGGCAGTGTAAAATTAACAATTCAGTTTTTTGAGTTTCCATGAAAATTATTATGAAAAGATATATAAAGAAGTATTTAACAAAATATTTAGTGTGGTACCTATATAACTATATTATAGAGAAGGTCTAAAACATATTTCCTTCTTGTCAATATTAGAATTAACTGTTTACATTTCATTTAGCATTTATTTTTTAAGTATCATGAATATTAGGATTTTAAAAAATTAAGACACTTGCATGACATAAAACTTATTACTTTAGCAATTTTAAAGTATACAAGTCAATTATTTTTGGCATTTTCACAAAGTTGTATGACCTTCACCACTAATAAGACATTTTTATCATCCCAAAATGTAACTCTTCATTTATTAGCAGTTACTCCCCATTCTTTCCTTCCTCCCAAATCACTGGCAAGAACTAATGTACTTCCTGTTTCAGTGAATTTGCTTATTCTGTATATTTCAAATAAATGTAATCATATATGGTATATTATGTCTGGCTTCTATCATTCAGCATAACATTTTTGAGATTCATCCATGTTGTAGCATCAGCACCTCAGTCCTTCTCAAGATTGAATAATATTTCATTGTATGAATATATCACATCTTTATTCATTCACTGATTCATGAACATCTGGGTTGTTTTCACATTTTGGCTACTATGAGTAATACTGATGTATCACTCATGCATAGTTTTTTGCATGGATATATACTTTCTCTCAGATGTATACCTTGCAATGGAATTGCTGAGTAATGTTAACTCCATATTTAACTTGTTGAGGAACTGCCAAATTGTTTTTCTTATCACAGCGCCACAATTTTATGTTCCCACCAGCAACATATGAGGGTTCCAGTTGATTCACATCATTGCATGCTTTTTATTTTGTTTTGTTTGTGTGTTATAGCCATCCTAGTGGTCATGAAGTGATAACTTAATGTGATTTGATTTTCATTTCCCTTATTAGTAAAGATATTGAGCATCTTTTTATGTTGTCCATTTGTGTGTATTCTTTGGAGAATTTTCTATTCAAAACTTTTGCTCATTTTTTAATTGGGTTGTTTGTCTTTTTGTTGTTGTTGTAAGTGTTCTTTATATACGTTCTTTATGTGAATAATTTTTTCTATTTCTGAAAAATATATGTAGGGATTTTGATTGGAATTTCATTGAATATGCAGATCACCCTGGATAGTATGAACATCTTAACAATAGTAAGTCTCCAAGGCATGAGTGCAGCCTGCCTTTCCATTATTTGTGTCTTCTTTAATTTGTTGCAGCAATATTCTATAGTTTTCACTTTACAAGTTTTTCACCATCTTGGTTAGGTTATTACTAAGTATTTTATTTCTTTGTTGCAGTTGTAAATGGGATTGTTTTCTTAATTTTGTTTCAGATTATTCATTGTTAGTGTATAACTTTAGGTTCCCTTTTATAATTATTTCCTTTGTTGATCTTATCAATTTGGTGAGTCATTCTCATAGTTTCTTTTTGTTCTTATGGCATGATTTCATTTAGTTTTTGAACATTTAGTTAAGTGCATCAGGTCCTAGTTTTATCATGTGGGATCTTTAGTTGTGGCCTGTGAACTCCTAGGTGCAGCATGTGGGACCCAGTCCGCTGACTAGGAATTGAACTTGGGGAACTTGGACTCCCTGCATTGGGAGTGCAGAGTCCCAGCTACTGGACCATCAGGGAAGTCCCTGGATATATTTAAAATGGCTATTTAAAATTTTTGTTTAGTAATTCCAATGTCAAAGCTTCCTCAAAGAGAGTTCCTATTAATTTCTTTTTTTTTGGTGTGGTACAAGTCATGCTTCCTTGTTTTCTTATTGCCTTGAAATTTTCTTTGAAAACTTGACATTTTGAATATTATGATTATGCAGACTTGGAAATTATATTCTCCTCCTCCCTTTGGCTTTTTGTTGCTGCTTGTTGTTGTTGTGCATTTGGTGGCTTTTCTGAACTAATTTTATAAAACCTGTGTTCTTTCTTATGTTCGGCTGCTGAATTTTCTGTTTTGTTGCCTTAGTGATCAGCTGGTGATCCCTAAATTCTTGGAACTAAAGTACAGTCTCTCAGTTTTCAAATGGGCTCTGTGCATCATTTTGGGAGATATCTTCAGTACTCAGCCAGACAGTTTATAGCTTTGTTTTAGCCTTCACTTCCTGTTTGTGCATAGCCTGCAAATCAGTTAAGGGGAGAATTTAGGGCCTTCTTATGTCTTTTTTGAACATGCATACATGGTCTTTTGGATTCTTAGTATTATGTTGGAGCTTTTCAAAACCTTTACTCCTCAAAGTATCTCATTCATTAATCTTCCCAAACTTTCTGTTTAGTCTATTATTTGCCTCAACTGTCATCCATTGCCCTTAGGCAGCCATGACCAGTATTTTTGCTTGTAAATTTGGTAAATACCCCTCCTCAGATAGCCACCTTTCAGCTCTGCAGAAGTTGTAAGTTAGGCAAAATGAAAGCAAAAGGTGACTCCAAGGAGTCACCAGATAGGTCAACATCAACCCACATCTTTGTGAATGAAATCTGTTTTTAGTCTCTCTAGTAGCACTCTCTGCACTGGGACTCTGAGCTGTCAAGTCAAGGCCACTTCTGAACACAGAATTGGTTAATGGGACCAATGTAAAAGTACCACATGCTCTCAATTTTTACCAAAATTCCGCCAGTTTTTCTTGTTTAAACATTATCTTAGTTGCTTCAAGCTTCTGATTATTTTCCAGAAGTCCCAAAAAAGTTCATTCTGATAGATTTTGCCAGTGTTTTTTATGATTTTATGGCAAGATAGATTTAGATTTTATTGCTGTGCCATTTTTTGTTAACATTATTCTCTTCAGGATTTTAACAAATTATACCATTGGATATCTATTAATGAGAATCCAAGCTAAAATATCCATATCTTAATGCAGTGTGATATATTTTATTATATTATATATAACCTACATGATACTCCATACCTTGACCCATTTTAATCTGTGTATATTTTTCTTTCTCAATAATTAGAAATAGAACTTGGTATAAAAAAAGAGAGTTAAAGCCTCTTTAACCTTCTTCATCATTGTCCTCCCTCCTTGCCAAGACTCAGTGTTGGTGTAGTCAGTTAGCAGTTACCATTAGATAACATTTTCCATTTAACAATGATTACCTTCAGTATCACACACTAATAAATACCAAATGTACTTCTGTGCTTGTCTCTTCTCTGTAGGTACTTCCCCAGCATTACTAACTCTCAAATGTGACATCCTCCTCACACAAGAGTGGAATTGTGCGGAGATATATATTGACTTAAAATTGTTTGCAAAAAAATATAATTTTCTGCAGCTATACAGGGAGATACTAGAATGGTAAACAAGGGTTTTTCTACTTTGAATATTGTTTAGTTTGCATATTCTCTGTGTTACATATGCTTAAAGAAATTATTGACTACTGTTGAAACTGAAGTTCTAAACTACTGTTTCAACTTGTTTAATTTTAGTAAAGAGACTTTGGAAAGTTGTTTCTGTTATTCAAATATATGCCCTAGATATTAGAAATTGATATAGAAATGTATGGTTTATAAATTGATGATAATAACTTTGGACAATTTCTTCATATTACTGTCTCTTTAAATTATTAAAAAAAAGTATAATCACAAAGGGGAAAATATTCAGAAATGTTGAGGATAACCTGAGGTCAAATCTATAGTAATTGACCAAACCGGGATAAACTATAAATCATATACTTTTTTCAGTACCATACATTTAAAAATAATGTGTACATGCATGAGTGACAGATGCTTAGCATGAATCATTTCTCTAACTAAGCAGCTCATGGAGCTGATGGAATACAATTCTGAAGTTCTACCTTAGTATATCATCTCAAGGGGACCATCATTAAAATCATTCCTTAACGTAATGGTGTAAATGGGTTCTCCAATATTTCAGGCTTGTCTCCAAGGACGGACTTGCTTGAAACCTTTGATGTTTTATAATTAGAGAGCCTTTTTGATCTTGCTTGGTTATACCAATTTTGCATAATACTCCCCAGTCAATAATAATTCTATCATATCAAAATTACTCTGCTTTATCCTTGATGGTCATCAAAGAATATTTGTTTCAGCCAAATTAATTGCCTGTGGTATAAATGCAACCAAGGGATTAATTTCTGTGAGAAGTTTAAAAGTTGTTTCACTATCTAAGTTTAAAGTATCTATCGGGTTAAATTTACTTGAGCCTTTATTTCCAACCTTGGGAGAGAACGAAAGTCACACCAATATTCAAAATTACCTTTAATATGTATCAGAGTTTTGGAAATACCAAAATAAGTCTAGACAACCAAAAAGAATAAAAGTGTGCTTGATTTAAAAGGAAGCTATTGATATTTGAATTGTATAAGAAATGGAATAACCTCTGTATAAACCTAAAGAAAATTATTGAAGATGTCGGTGTTCTGAATCTCAGTGAGAGTAGTAATCAGAGGCATTCTTCTGTGGAAAAGCACGTCTGGATGGGTGGATGAATGGGCGGAGGGAAAAATGAGTTTCAAGTCAGACTCTTTTGTCTTACTTTTCTGTTTGTTTACAGGATTATCGTGTGTCTGAGTGGAATAAGAATAAAAGATGTTTGAAAACTAAGCTGAATCGTGGTCATAAAGTACTTTTATTACTTAAGAGTAATAATTTTAATAATTCTTAAGAGAGTGTATTAGTGTGCTGCATCAGATATAGATGTTGGAAGGAGACTTCCTAGTGGCCCCTTCTTAAGTTTGCCAGTGCAACAACATTTCTAGCCTTCTCTCACTAGGCAGGGCAGAAGAAGTCTCAATTCTTAGCTCTCCCTTTAATTCAAGTGGTATTACAGATTCAATTGAGACAAAATAGGCTAAAGCCCAAAAAAGAAAAAAGAAAAAAAAAAAAAGAATAATATCTGAGTCACGTAGCCAAATCTCAAAAACAGTATTGGCAGTAACTCTGGGATAACTGGAATCTGCATTCAGACAAACTCATGGTTTCCTTTACATTTGACTCTGATTCTCTCATTGGTTTCTTCATGTTGGCTCTACCCTCATGAACTCATCAAATCCTAAGTACTTCCCAAGAGCTTTATCTCTTAATACCATCCCATTGGATAGCAACATATGAGTTCTTGAGGAAACAGCATGCAATGCATAGCATTCCATCCCTGGCTACCAAAATTTATGTCCTTCTCACATGAAAAAAAAATCATCTCAGTGATCCCCAAAGTCTCAACTCACTGCAGCATCAGCTCTAAAGACTAAAATCCAAAGGCTCATGTAAATATCATCTAAATCAGAAATGGGTGAGATTTAAGGTGTCCTTCACCCTGAGGCAAATTTCTCTTCAACTGTGAATCTATGAAAACAAATATGTAATATGCTTCCAAAATACAATAGTGGGACAGGCATAGGGTTGATATTCCTGTTCCCAAAGGGAGAAGTAGGAAAGAAGAAAGGGTTATGTAATGAGTCTCAAATAAGTCTATAACATAAGGCAAGTGGCAGTAAACCTCAAGGATTAAGAATAACCCTCTTTGGCTTGATGCTCTGCCATCCAGTCCCACTGGGTGGCATACTACCCTCACGACAGTGTTCAGTTCAGTCGCTCAGTCATATCTCACTCTTTGTGACCCCATCAGCTTCTCTGTCCATCACCAATTCCCGGAGCTTGCTCAAACTCATGTCCATCAAGTTGGTGATGCCATCCAACCATCTCATCCTCTGTTGTCCCCTGCCTCTCCTGCCTTCAATCTTGCCCATCATCAGGGTCTTTTCCAATGAGTCAGTTCTTCCCATTAGGCAGCCAAAGTATTGGCATTTTGGCTTTTGCATCAGTCCTTCCAATGAATATTCAGGATTGACTTCCTTTAGGATAGACTGGTTGGATCTCTTTGAATTCCAAGGGACTCTCAGGAGTTTCTCCAACACCACAGTTCAAAAGCATCAATTCTTGGACACTCAGCTTTCTTTATGGTCCAACTCTCACATCCATACATGACTACTGGAAAAATTATAACTTTGACTAGACAGACCTTTGTTGGCAAAGTAATGTCTCTGCTTTTTAATATGCTGTCTAGGTTGGTCATAGCTTTTCTTCCAAGGAGTAATTTCATGGCTGCAGTTACCATCTGCAGTGATTTTGAAGCCCAAGGAAATAAAGTCTGCCACTGTTTCCATTGTTTCCCCATCTATTTGTCATGAGGTGATGGAACCAGATGCCATGATCTTAGTTTTATGAATGTTAAGTTTTAAACCAACTTTTTCACTCACATTTTTCATTTTTATCAAGAGGCTCTTTAGTTCCTCTTCATTTTTTGTCATAGGATGGTGTCATCAGCATGACAGTGTGGGACAATCTTAAGTGACTTCCTGCAAGGGCCCTGCTCACACAGCAACTTTCTGCCTGGATTTTATGACTCTATCTAGGTTGAGATCATGTGCCCGTGGCTCTTCTGAGTTCCTGAGCCTGAGGCTTTACTGAGTGACCCCATTCTTTGAAATCTAGGTGGAAATGATGCCCCATGGCTCTGCTGAATACAGTCCATGCTTAGTTCTCTGCAGGGGCTCAAACTTTGAGGCACTTGATACAAGCATCCTGGCTTGTCTGGTGACCCCCTCCTTTGAAACCATTCTTCCCAACCCCTCATCCTCCCAGTCTTCTGCACACCGACTCTGTGATGGAGGGAGCAGCCTTGAGCAGCCTTCATTTCACCTTTGGGATCATTCTTCAGTTGCCTTGAATAATTCCTGGCTTCTGTTGAAATGACTGATTCATGCTAATCTTATCAAAGAACTGCCTGTCCACATCCTTCATGTTCTTATATTTTCCATTATGGATAAACTGAGAATTTTCCAAATCTTTAACTTCTGCCTCAATATTTGTTTAATGATTCCATCTTTAAGTCTTTTCTCTCTTCTCACATCTTAAGTAGTCAAGAGAACCCAAGCTGTACTTTCAGTTCTTTACTTAGAAATAGTTTTAGATTGATACCCAATTTCTTAAGTTCTACCTTCCACAGACTATGCCAAAGCCTTTGACTGTGTGGATCATAATAAATTGTGGAAAATTCTGAAAGAGATGGGAATACCAGACCACCTGACCTGCCTCCTGTGAAACCTGTATGCAGGTAGGGAAGCAACAGTTAGAACTGGACATGGAATAACAGAATGGTTCCAAATAGGAAAAGGAGTACATCTAGGCTGTGTATTGTCACCCTGCTTATTTAACTTATATGCAGAGTACATCATGAAAAATTCTGGCCTGGAAGAAGCATAAGCTGGAATCAAGATTGCTGGGAGAAATATCAATCACCTCAGACATGCAGTGGATACCACCCTTACGGCAGAAGGTGAAGAAGAGCTAAAGAGCCTCTTGATGAAAGTGAAAGAGGAGAGTGAAAAAGTTGGCTTAAAGCTCAACATTCAGAAAACTAAGATCGTTGCATCTGGTCCCATTATTTCATGGCAAATAGATGGGGAAACAATGGAAACAGTTGCTGATTTTATTTTTGGGGGCTCCAAAATCATTGCAGATGGTGATTGCAGCAATGAAATTAAAAGACGCTTACTGCTTGGAAGGAAAGTTCTGACCAACCTAGATAGCATATTAAAAAGCAAAGACATTATTTTGTCAACAAATGTCCATGTAGTCAAGGCTATGGTTTTCCCAGTAGTCATGTATGGATGTGAGAGTTGGACTATAAAGAAAGCTGAGCACTGAACAATTAATGCTTTTGATCTGTGGTGTTGAAGACTCTTGAGACTCCCTTGGACTGTGAGAAGATCCAACCAGTCCATCCTAAAGGAGATCAGTCCTGGGTGTTCACTGGAAGGACTGATGTTGAAGCTAAAACTCCAATACTTTGGCCACCTGATGCAAAGGGCTGACTCATTTGAAAAGACCCTGATGCTGGGAAAGATTTTCGGCAGGAGGAGAAGGGGATGACAGAGGATGGGATGGTTGGATGGCATCACTGATTCAATGGACATGAGTTTGTATAAACTCTGGGAGTTGGTGATGGCCAGGGAGGCCTGGTGTGTGGCAGTTCATGGGGTTGCAAAGAGTCGGACACGACTGAGCGACTGAACTGAACTGAACTGAACCTTCCACGAAACACTGGAACATCACCACAATTTAGCCAAGGTCTTTGCCACTTTATAGCAAGGATTACCTTTTCTCCAGTATCCAATAACATGCTTCTCATTTCTGTCCAAAATCACGTCAGAGTGGACTTCATCATCTGTATTTCTACCAACATTTTGTTTAGGAATGCTTAAGTATCCTTTAAAGAGTTTGAAACTTTCTCTACAGGTTTTCTTTCTGAGCTCTCTCCAGACTGCCCCTTAACAG